TGTGAAGGCAAATGTTCCAGGCAATGAAAGCCAGATGCACAGAGGTTAGACTAACCAGGAAAGACTTCACAGAGAAAGCAGGTCTTAAACAGGACTTTGAAAAAGGGCTCAGATATAGCTAGGCTGCAGGAAGGAATGAAGACATTGTAGCAACATGGAAAATGTCCTACAAGCGGTATATCATAGGTATTGTGTTCTATCTAAAAATATATATAGCTACAGAACTGAATTCTTAGAGAACTCAATGTCGTAATGAAGATTAATATATTAGGGATCACCAGGGTAGGATTTTAAGTCCAATCTGCTTCCCAGATATTTGAGGGGAAAAGGGGGCAAAAGCAATGTAGTGTTTGAATTTATCATCTGCAAACCAGATGGTTTATGGCAAGGGGTGTGGACATTCAAAGGCATTCTTCCCCTGCAAGAAATCATGTCGCTGTGATGCAAGACTCTTGAGCCTCTAAACACAGTGAACTCAAAAGTGCTTGAGGGTTTTCTGAACAATTCATAAAATCAAAAGATAAATAAAAGAAAGAAAAAAAGATGAAGTTTGACACACAAGGAGAATAGGAATCTGTTTTAGTAAGCAAATACATAGTTGAAAATATGCTTAGTTTTATCTAGTTAGGTGAGTTAAAGTTTTAATTTTAGCAATAATCTTCTCAAAGGAGAAGGTAGAAAAACAATCAGTGCTTGCTTATTGTAAATTTTGAATTAGAAAACTGGACTTTGTCTTCATAGTGATACATTTTAGCTTCATAAGGACATCATAGGCTGCAACATTCTTGTCACCATATAATGCGGAAAGAGAGAGATCAACCAAAAATATATGTGCATACGTCCATGCATATATATGTTACATGTATGTTACATGATACTGTTTCAAGAGTTTTCAAATAATCTAAATGAATAAAATCCGTTACTCATCTTCTTAAATTAAATATATATTCAATTGTATGAGTTTTTTTTAATTCTAATGAATTGGGAAAGATGGTAGGTGTTTATAATTCTCATAAATAATGTGAAGCACCAGATGAACTAACTAGTTTGAATGAGTAGAATATTTTAAACAGTAAGTACAGTTCAAACATTAAGTAGGCCTGACTTGCTAATGTGGATAAAGAATTCTCCATTTGGTTCTGAGTAGGAACAGATGCCTCATATCTTTTAGAAAGGAAATTACATTCTACAGAAGAGGAACTCAGCACTGCCAAATTAATAAGATAAGAGATTTCATCATCTCCTGGAATACATTAGCACACAATTTTCATCTTATTCCAGTTATCCTTTCTGAACTAGCCCTTCTTTGAGTTTGGAACTTCATGGAAACCTGAGTTAACCTAGTCCACAATCAGAACTGCCTTCAGAGCCTTGCAGAATTCTTTTCAATTCCTACGTGTAAGGAACAGTAGAAGCCATAAGTGTCACCATGTTCTCATAAAAACTTTCTTACTTCAGACTCTGAATAAGTTGCATGTGAGAGGACATATAGAGTCTTGCATACAAAGGGTTAGAAATATGATATGGGAATTGTACATCCAATAGAAATTTTACTTTAATGAGTAATATTTTCCTTTAGCATCTTTTCCTTGTTAATTTTTTTACATGGATTCAAGGCAATGTTGATTGAATTTCCTATGTAAGTAGTAAAATATGGTAATGCAAATATACTATAGTTCACCAAAATAATACCACTAAGTTGAAAATATAAAAGATTTATTCACACAACCCCAAATATCCATTGAATACCTACTACAGTTGAGCATACTAAGTTCAAGTGATTGTGAGAACACAAAATGACATAAGACATTGTCTCTCTGAGAATTTACAGACTAATAGAGAAAACTCACAAACAATTATAATAATGCACAGCTGTGTATAAAAACAGAAGTAAGTACTAGATACTATGGTAGCACATAGGGATGACATCCAAATCACACTGGGGGTCCAAATGAAATAATTTACAATTATGTGTTGCTATTTGAATCACACACTAATTTAGAAATGTCATGCGTACCAGACCTTATCTATAATTTTCCCACTGTCTAACCAGTGTCTACTACATTTCCTAGATCACTGTGGGCTCTTTAAAAAGTACTGTCAAGATTTGAAGTACTGAAGAAGATTTTATTCAGTATAATTTCTACTGGGCGAGTACAGAATTTTAAAGAAAAGTGTATATTTAATACTTCACTAATCTGCATAGAGTACTGGGGAAACCTGTTGAAAGGTGAGGCAGGCTACAAAAGAGAATGAGATGAGGAATGGTTATTTTGTTCTCTGAGAAGGAAGGGAAGGAAGAAAATAGATAGATGGTCCTTAATACTGTGACCCTTCCTTAGAACCCTAAATCTTCACTTAAATTGTTAAATTCCCAAAGACTTAAAATGAGTGGATTTTGTTGTATATACAAGTGAGGTAATGACTCTCACATCTGGCCTCACACAGAGCAAGACAGTAGAATTACATAGAAGGCAAAACACCAAGGATTTAGGGAAAGCTACATGCAATTTAACTGGAGAGGGACCTGCAACTAACATCTTGATTATAGTGAAAACATCTTCATGACATTTGAAAGGATGAACAATGAAGAAAATGGGAAGAGTATTCCAGGAAGATGTCAGAGTAGACACAGACTCATGAAATGATACTACTTAGGAAGAACTGTACTGCAAAAGAAAAGGAAGAGTGCAGTGAGAAGTAAATGAAGACAAGGTAATTAGGGATTAAATCATAAAAGGCCTTGATTGTTAACCTAAAGAATATGAACTTTATTCTATAGGATTTAGGGAACTTTTTAAGCAAAAGAATCTGAATAGGATATAACAAGAAAGTGAAAACATTTGATAAAAGTATTAATAGTGTGAATTTATATTGTCATTCCCTCATAAGAATACAGAATGCACACTGGCATGCAAAACTACAGGTGATTACAGACATCTGTAGTCTAAAATTGAATTTTTAGAGTCTAGACAGAGTTAAGCAGGAATTGATGCCGGCCCTATCATGGGTATCCATTTCTGTCTATTCATTATTCACGATGATTAGGCTCAGCATTTGGCAAAGGGAATGCTATATAAAATAATTTAATTTTAGGAGAGGGAGCTTAGGAAAATGTGGTCGTTATTTAAAAAAAAATGTAAAAAGGAATAGTTTAAAATAAAATGAACCACAAAACGTCTGGAGACTATTTTAAAATACACCATTAGAAGCCCAAGATGAATTTTTTGTCATGAATCATAAAAACAAGCCAGACGCATTTAAAAAATGCTTTCACAGCAAACTATTACAGTAAAAGCTGCCATCACAGAGAGAAATAGGCATCCAAATAAAATTTTCCCAAATCAAAGAAAAAAGGGGAAGCCTCGAAAGTGTGACAGATCAGATACAACTAGAAATTAGGCAGACCAGAAAAATATTTGTAAAACTATCTTACAAGGAACTTCAAAGGCAATAATGAAAGGACCCTTAAAAATGTCAAAGAGAGGAAAGAATCCAACCACATAATCCAAAGGAATTCTAAATATAAAATTGTATTATTTGGGTAATAATCAAAGAATGGTTCGCTCTTTTCTGTTTTAATGTATTCACTTGATGATTTCAACTCTTTAACTATATATTGAAGTAGGTAAGTCAGAAGTACTAGATAAAATTGCCAAAAATACATTATTTTATTCATTAGGAAAATATGACACAGATAAATAGCTGAGATGCTATAACATCTATACAAAAATTATGCAAGAACTTCAGGGTGAAATGTTGAACAGTGAACTATGACATGTGACCTGTCAGTAACAAATTAACCAAGCCAGGAAAGACAAATTGTCAATATGATTCCCATTGATAAACACAGATTCCAGTGAAGACCCTCGAAATCCAATACTGACTTCCACTCAGGTGATCTGGTGTAATTTGTTATAAAGGGAAGAATATGTACTTAATACAACAGAACTCATGGAGGAGCCATGGTCCTAGAAGAGGAAATGATGCTTGACTAACATATTAGAGTTGTCAAGCTAAGTGAGCATTTGGACAGGAGAGAACTGGTAGATGTTTCGTTTATATTTTCAAAAGGTCTCTGACTAGGTTCATACAAAAACTACTTGAAGATTGAGTCACCATGGGATTTAGGACAATGTTTTAACATGCATAAAGAGCTGGCTTAGAGTCAGGAAACAAGTAGGGACCAGAAAGTATTTCTTCAAGTGGAAAAGATCAAATACTGGGGCCTTCCAAGGGCTATATTGCTGTAACTTCTCTAGACAAAACAGTGCCCAGAGAATTCTCATAAATAATATCAGAGTGATTCTTTACCTTGGAATCCATCTACATGCCTTCCCTAATATACCAGGGTCTAAAGCAAAGTCCCACAGCTATTAGAGGAAAATTAGAGAAGAAGGAGAAAGAGAAACTTTATCTCCTCTCTGATGCTCTGTGGGCCTCTACCATTGGCTGGTGGAGAATTGCTTGAACATTTTTCACAAATCCTTAGAAGTATTTCTGGATAGTCCTAAATTCTGGTAATAAAAAAAATGCTTAGTAGATAGATAAAGGATTAATGACCTTTTTGTGGAAAAAGTACTTGCATTCAAAAAAAATTGTTTCCATTCATTGGGTGAGGGATGATGCAAATTTTATTCAGATAACAGACTATATTATTAAAGACCCAGAAAAATAATCTCAGAGTTTTTGCACAGACCCCCTTGAAGATAGTCAAGCAAGATGTTATTTTTAAAAGTAAACATATTTGTCAATAGAGAAAATATAAAGAAAGTAGTATGTGGCACTTAAAGTGAAAATGTGGCTGAGTCTGGAATGTATCATATGGCTTAGGTTGCCAAATCAAGAAAATATACAGAGGGCCAGGTGTGCTGGCTCATGCCTGTAATCCTACCACTTTGGGAGGCAGAGGGAGGAGGATCACTTGAGCCCAGGAATTCCAGGATGTACTGAGCTATGATGACATCACTGCATTCCAGCATTCCAGCCTGTGTGACAGAGTGAGACTTTGTCTAAAAGACGAAGAAGGGAAAAAAAATGATACAAAGAGGTGAAAAGAATCTATCAAAGGGCTACCACAGACCCCAAGACAGTAAGAGCTCTGGATGATCCAAGCAGAAGATGTGGGACATCCAGGCTGGGAAGATGAAGAAGCCAAGAAGAGTGTAATAGGACACTGAAGTCTATTAAGCCATGAAAGGTATGAATTGAGACTTGAAAGATGTAAAAATAGGATTAAGAACATATTATAAAGTTGATAATAAACATAAAATCTACATCGTTCTCCAATACAGTGTCAGAAAATTATGAAATGCTGTAACAATTAAAAAGATTTAGCTAAACCTAGGAATGCTGGACAAGGTATAAAGAATTAGGGAGTACTTTTAAAAATCTTTTACCCTCACATATTCTAGGATCGTAGATTTAGCTGAATCTTCATTTTTCCACAAAGAAGTTTCACTGTACTAACTTGATCCCACACACAGCTTTATAGATCATGGCCTTCACCAAAAATGGAAATTTCTATAATCTACGAGTAGTAATTAAGCTAATTTTAATTATGACATGGCCTTCAATAAAAAAAAAATACTGATTGTACTCAAATAAAAGTTTTGAGAACAGGAAATGTTATTCCTCCAGCCAAGGTGATCTCAAATTTCTGCTTACCAAAAAGCAAACTTTATATGTGAATGTTAGGTGAAGATATTCCCATGATAACATCTTATATGTTGCTATAGAAACTAGTTGTGAAGACAACTAGAACTGAATTTATGCAAACTTCAAACAAGATTACTTTAGAAAGTGAAATAAATTCAGTAATACTTGCTAAATAGTAATATTGAAAATTAATATTTCATCAATAACTAATGCTTTGGGCCTTCTACAATCTAAGATAAATTATTTATAAATAACTTTAATATTGGCTCTAAATTCCATTAAATTCTGAAAGTCTATTTTTTGAATAGTCACAGAAAATGCAATTTAATTTCCAGAGTTCTTGTGAATACTTTACATTAAAAAAAAAGTTGACAACATAATTAACTTCAAAAAATCACATAGGTAAAAGGTTAATTATAAAATTAAATTGAACTTAGCTAAACATTAATATATTCTGAATCACAAAAATGAAACTACAAGTGCATTTTTAAATGGCTGATATTTTTCATTGGGTTAAGATCTAAATTCTACATTTCCTTTTTCTCTGTTAAGTGTTTAGTGGTGTCAAGACAGTTTGGAAGCCTAGCATTAGAAGTTTCTATCCTCAAGTCATTAACCTGCAGAATAAAAACACTAGCAATCCTCTTTCTTAGCCAAAGTTTTCTAGAGAAAATCTCCATAGTAATGCTTATTAAAATAGAACCTTTTATTTAGTGTTCTTTGCAAAGTCTTAGTAGAAATTTAAACATACACTTTTCAGAAATGATATATGTGTCTGCAGCTATATAATTTTAAGCTTATTGCAATGCAAGGGCTTTAAAATCTCCCTATGAAGTGTATTTTATGTGTACCCTCAGTTGTTATGGTTTGCTTTAATTTATGTAATTATGTATGAGGTCAATATGGAAAACCAGCCCTCACTCATTACTGGCAAACATTCCTGAACAATATGTGTGCCTTAAGGAATCAAACTAACAGGCTCACAGTCTTAACAAGGTCAAATGAAAGCAACCAATTGTTCAGTCACTAAACAGTTGTAATTGTTTACTATATTACAATCGTACTTTGGAGATGGCTTAACAGGCACTAAATTATATCCAGAATGCTCTCAGCTGACAAGCAATGGAGCATACAAAACCAATAGAGCTCAAGCTAATTATCACACATCAGGACACAAATGCAACTCTCAATCTGCCACATTAATATAAAAATCCTTGGGACGCAATCCACTGAAGGGATTTCTTTTTGAAAATAAGTCAACTAGGGTTCTTTTGGACACAAACATTTTTGAAGATGAATTTTTAAAGTCTTTTAAAGATTGAAATGTTAATGTGAAATGCCAGTGTCTCTGTGGGCTACCATTATTTTCCATCTTTTAAGAAAATCAGTCAAAACCAGGCTTGGATTTCTTCACTCTCCACCACCACTATTTTAAAAATTCCTTGAGAGATAAAATTTTTCTGTATACAATAAATGTTCCCAGATATTTCTTGGAAACTCTATTCTTCTCAGATTTTTGCCCTGGAATAAACTTAGGGAGCTTATCTTTGGTTCTTCAAACACTAAGTTCATTTATACTGAGTATCAAAAGAGAACAAGAAGCTATTTAATACAATTTCTTAGAAATTTCTTCCATAGCATCCATAAGTGACTCTAAAGTCTCTGCTTGGTTACTTTCAGAGATGGAGAATTCATTACCTCAAAAGGAGCCCATTGTATTTTCAGTTCGGCCAAATTGTTAAGAAGATCTGGCCTGGGGAATCCCACGTGGTATTTTAAAGAGTGTTTCTGTGCATAAATATGGATCAGAGCAGCAGAGCAGTCTTTAATGTAACTAGAAGACTATATCATAGCTTACCTGGCAGCAGAATAGACCTATCTGTACTTTCTGCCATATGGAATTGCCTTGGCCAGTTGGAGTCCTGAGAAATCAATCTAACCCATTTCCACACAGACAATCACTTTAAGCATTCTGAGACACGCTAACAAGACCCCTCTCACCCCCACTTTATTCGTATCTTCTCTAATATGAACTCACATCCTTCACCCTTACTATTACAATAGAATTATCATATTCTTTTCTGGAAATACTTCCAAAATGTACCTTCTCTAAAGTAAACTAAACTCAATAGCAATGGTATTATAGTAGATCCTAAAATGGTTTTATGTTCTATATTAAATGAAGGCGTAATGACAAATGAAGCAATCTTCAGAGTAGAGGCATTCAATCTAGATAACAGGTCCTCTCAAGAAAAGCAACTGTGAAAATAACTGGGTTTTCACTGTCTTATTTTCTATTGTATCCATGACGGGAAACATGAATGCATGGCAAATGCTCAAACAGAAGTGAAGCTCTAGATAATTTGCAGATTAAATAAACATCTGACTTTTAGCTATTACTTCTATAAGATTCCATTCCCATTAGCTTACCCATCTTCCACAAGGAGTTGCCAAGGTGTGTTTAAATTAAAAACTAAGCAAGACCATAAAAACACGTGTTTCTTTTTAACTCTTTCTCTTACCTTCTGGAAAAACCACTAGAGTATCTTCTCTAATTTTATTCTCTATAATCATTTTTAAAACTCTGCTGTATTTGAGCCTCAGCTGACAGCACATAACTTATACAGTTCTCAATAGCTTTGGTAAAACTACTTCCTAGTAAGAATTATATAAAAGCTGTATTTATTTTAAAAGTCACTTTTCTTCTTAAAGAATCTTATAACTATGGAGTCCACTTTAAAGTTGTATTATTAGGTCTAAGACCCTAGTAATTGCATTATAAAGAAACCTGTGATATTTCTTTGTTTATTTAAGAGCTGAAGAAGAAATAAAAATAATCTCTGACTTTGAGTCAGTAAAAGGAGTAAGTCAAATAATTACAATGCAATGTGAACAGAATTCTTCAAATCTCAGCAGAGAACTGGGAAGGGAGTCATCTACTCTGCTTTAAGTATTTCAGCACAGGATTTCATTCAGTCTTAACACACTGAGAAATAGTCAGAAAAAGTATTCTTATCCTCTATATTTAATAGATGTAGAACGTAAAACGTACGGGTATAGTTTAAAAGACAAGATTTAAACTGAAAGTTTCTAACTTCAAGTACAGTAGTAGGTAAGGTCAGCACTCGATGACTTCCAGGCTACAAGTTGTGATACCAAAAAAATCTGAATTGTACCTCTATGATGTTTCTTCAGAGAAATTAGGATGGCAAAGGGCACGGACAGCTAGTGTGGTAAGCTGAATTGGCAGGAAAGCCAACACACAATGGAGCTCAACTCAAAATAGACTTCTAAAGCTTCCTCAGCAAATTCACAGTGGAACACAGCCAGATGTCCAGGTGTGGCGTGAGCTATTTCCCTACAGAGATCTCTTCCTGTTATCCGGGCTCCCGTTGCTCCGCCCCTTGGGAAAATAGTTGGAGTATGAATTAGGTTTTTAGGTTCCAATTCCTGCAGAGCCTGGCTTTTTGGAAAAACTAGGCTTTTTCTGGCACACGACTATGCTTAGTAAAAAGATTGGAAAATTTTCTTTTCCAGAAAGGAACTGGGGTGGAGAGCATTGTAAAGAGAAAAGAGAAAATCAAAATAATTGAGAAATGAAGGTCAAAGATCTCACCAAGATGTGGAGATAGATGGGGAATTTTATTTATCTTGAACTGCTTGGAACTGGTTGACTGGTTTAGGATGTAAATTATTAGTCTGAATTTTAAAATCAACACATAGAGTAAAAACCTGTCAGAAAAAAAGAAGCACTGCAGATATTCAGTGTATGAAAGGAAATTAGTCAATCAAAGATGGATTTTTATTTTTGTATTTTCTTCACTTTTTAGAAAATAATCCCTGATTTGTAGGTAGAATACATGGTTGCCTGTGTGATTCTATACCAAGAGCTCACAAAAAGTTGACCTGCCTTAAAATATCCAATCTGTGAGTCTGCCAACATTACATTCAATTCTCATATGTCTTCTGAAAGTGTATTTTTTCTTACTGGAGAAAAACATAATGGTCATTCGGAGGTTGGTTGGACCTAGTCAGATGGAAGAAGAAAATCATTTGTGCATGCACTTCACATACAGTATTTCATTTGATTTTCACAACAGCCCTGCAGCAATGACATGATAGTCTCCATTCTACAGATGAAGAAACTGAACAACTTGAAGGTAAGTAACTTAGTCAAGACCACTCTGGTAATAAATAATGAACTCAGGATTTGAAGACAAATCTGCTTGACTTCAATCATGCATGTTTCACTAACCCCATAATATCTAACAAACATTAACCAGGAAGAGTTTCCCTAATTAATATATTGACATCAATAGTTACAGGAAAGATAATGAAGAAGGGACAAGAAGGGGTAAGTAGGGTGCACAGCAGCAATAAGCTTGGATGTGCACCATAGTACAGAGGCAGACTTTCTTTCACTACATGTAATCACTGGGCCTCCAAAGTTTGCTCTCTTGGCTCACCTATCTCCCCTGTATCTATACTCTCTGGGTTCTGCTTGCCTTGCTTTCCACGTGCCTGGTCCCTCTTACATCAATGCTTCACATCCCTTCTGGTTGTTCTGGCAACACGTGTTTCATTTTTTTCTGTAGCAGGTGCCAAAACAAGCATTCGAACATCTGGAAATCATCATTCGTCACTTTCACTGGTAAAATGCAATTGCCTTCAAAAGTAGTTCCCATATAGACCCCCTAAGATTCCATCTTACCTTTGAATAACAATTTTCTAATATTCCTTGGTTATGGAAAATTGCAACACACTGACTGCAAACTGTGGCAATTTCTATCACATTAATAACAACATATTTTACAAGTCAGGGTTGTGGTATCCTGACGTAATACACTTTAAAAGGAAAAGATTAAAACAAATGATGAGGCAAACAAACACACAAACACACACACACGCATCCTTACACACAACATTCTGCATTCCTTAAAGGAGATAGTGATACCATAATCTTTATTTTCAATTCTCTAAGACATGATAGTTGAAAGTTGATATCATTAATATAAACTACAAAACAACAATGAAAGAATGTACAACAACAACAAAAATACACTATTAAGATAAATTTCTAGTTCAAGCCTTTTTGGTAGGACTTAGCAAAGTTTAACAAATATGCTGCTCATTAACTAGGGGATATATAATTCATGATTCCTACTTCTGCTTCTTCTGCTGATATGATGCGTGTTGATGCCAGAACTGAATCAGTTCCATGAAATAACCAGGCAAGGTCTTCGCTACTCCTGGACAAGTGGGCAGCCACCTGTGTAGCAGAAGCTTCCGGTTCCCCTCTTCCCTCACCTTCCTTAGCACATTGCAAAATGGCAGTTGAATTCTCCACCTATAGAATCAATGGCTTCCGAAGCCATCAAAATGAACTATAATTTTTTAAAGGAAAATTATGCCAGACTGTGAGTTCCATGCATTTAGCATCTCTGCCATATATACTTTTGTATATATGGCATAAAACTTGACACAAAATGAGGCTGTCTGTCAGTAAATGTTTGTTGAATGAATAAACAAATGAGTGGTTATGAGTACCTTAAAACATAATAATCATCATGCCCTCAAAGCACTCTGGGAGACTTTAAAATGCTGTATATCACACTTGTCTGTTTTATCTGTTTTTTAGCATGTATTGGTCTACATTTTGCTCTTGGGCCTTTCACCTGCCTGATTCCTTCTTCTCACTCAGATTTTCACACAAACAGAATCTGCTGTGTGTAAAGTACTGCCACTCTCCAGAACAGCACTGTCCAAGACCATTTTCTGTGTTGATAGAAACATTCTATTCTCTGCACTGTCCAATGCAGTAGTCACTAGTCACACTAGTAGCACTCAGATTTTAATTAATTTAAATTTAACCTAAATTTAAATAGCTGCATGTTGTTAGTGAATATTATATTGAACAGCATGGTTTCAGAATCCTACTTTGTTTTAATTCCCTTATGGCACTTATTATCTGAAATCATCTCTTTTAAAATACATACACATATATATTGTTCGTTTACTGTATTACTCCCTGCATTAGTTTCTGATTGCTGCCATAACAAACACCCCAAACCTAGTGGCTTAAAACAACAAACATTTATTATCTTATAATTCTGGAGGTCAGAAGTCTAAAATGGGTTTCACTGGGATAAAATCAGAGTGTCAACAGGGCTGCACCCCTTCTGGAGGCCCTACCAGACAATCTATTCCTTTGTCTTTTCCCACTTCTAGAGGCTACCAGCTTTCCTGTGATCATGGCCCCTTCTGTTGTTTTTAAAATCAGAAAAGTAGCATCTTCAAATCTCGCTCCCAGGATCTGATGCCTGCATTTGTTGTCACATCGGCCCCTTTTTTCCTTTGTAAGGACACCTATGATTACACTGGGTTTAGCCAGTTAATCCAGGACAATCTCCCTATTTTAAAGCCAGCTGATCAGTAGCCATAAGTCCATCTACAAACTTAATTCCCTTTTCTGTATAAGGGAAGGTATCCACAGGTTACAGAGATTAGAGCACAGGCATTTATTTTTGGAGGGACTGTTATTTTGTCATTCACACCCTAGAGGAGAATTCAAGTTCCAAGTGTGCAGAGACTTGTTCGTTACTGTATCCTTGGAGCCTGGATTGTGTCTGTCTCATTGCTTTCAATAAATAAATATTTGTTGAATAAATGAATTTTAAAATTCCTTTTTTAGGAAAGCAATTTTTGACTATGTAGGCTGTAGTTTACAAAATTTAAAAAAATAAGAGAATACAAAATTATAATTCATATTGCATTTGAAAACAAACCAATATATTAAATTATTATTTTCATTATATTGTTCTTTCATAGGCCCTTGTCAAGACTTGAAAGTTTCAAATATGCTGAGTTTCTGATGTATATTGATGGTCTTGTCCTCATAAATTAATTTTATAAAGAGTTTGATTGTCCTGCTTTGTTGCAAGGATTGGACCAATGAGACATAGACTTACATAAGCAGAATATTATCACACATTGATGCTTTACTACCAAAAATTAATGTTACTTTTGCATACCCCAAAATATATATTAACATCTCTCAACTATGTTTTTGTGTTGAATATTTGAGTCTGTTATCTAAGAATAAATTTCATTAAACTCACAGTGTAAAATCACATTATTTTCTGAAACTTCCAAAATAGCTAGCACAAAATCTAGTATTAATTCACAGTAGGGAATATAATAAGCATATGGTCTATTAAGTTACTCTAATAATTTGCAATAAAATAGTGGAAATATGACTAAAGACTAGTTGTCATGGCAGCTGAAAAATAATATCTGGTAACAAAATGGAAACTTCAGTCTAGGCAACTGTTAATAGAATTATGTAATAGCCCTAACTACCTGTCTGCTATATTTTAGCCATCTCCACAATGGACAGCACTCAGGCTATATTGAAGCAAGTAGTTAAATATTCTGCATAGTTTAATAAAATTTTCAACTGTGATATACATGTATCATATATGATATATGATATATATGACATATATATGTGTGTGTGTGTATATATATATATCTCACAGGGCACAGCAAAATGTTCTAAGTGAGCTTTGTGAGATATATGAAGCCCCATATACAAATAATGCTAAAACTATTAGATCACATTAAAAGTGAAAGATATATAAATTCACTTTCTTTTTTAATGTGTTTTTTCCAAGTGTATTAAAGCATGTACAAATAATAACATAACGCATCTGGAAGTTTAACCCCAAAAAAGGGCAAAAACCAAAACAATGGTACAGAAGAATCTAAAATATTCATTGAATTAACAGAACATGCTAAAGACATTTAAATAAAGAGGTCTACAAAGAGACAAGAGCAAGAATAATAAGAGCAAGAATATAATTTCATCACATATCTTCAACAACAATTACAATACAAATACATGATTCTGTCATCTTCTAGAGGAGATGATATTTGCAGTGCTTTGAAAACTTGACCAAAGTAGACTACGTGGAATTCCAATCCAGACTATTGTCTACTTCAAAGTGTTTTTCACACATACCAGTAAAAGAGAGATTGGAATGCAATGTGCTTTGGATGATAAAAATAAAATGTGGACTAATTCTTCAGTAGAACTAAATGTTTTGTGGTGTTCTTTGAAATAAAATTTTGCCAAGGTTTTGGTCAAAATGCCCTACTTCCTCTGGTATGTTCTGGTTTGAAGAAACAACTTAATATTTTTACCATAAATGAAATCACTGAAATAATAAACTACAGTATTTTTAATCTGATATTAGTCATATATATATCATTTGTTCTTGACCTGAATAGGAAATAATATTTTTATGGCAACTAAATTTTTAAAACATTTTAATTCTATACATCTGTTTCTTTCCCTTTCTCTCTCTAGATAGACTATGAGTTCAATGAAGGTAGAAACTGTGTCTTATATACTGTGGTGTCCCTACAGCCAAGCACAATACCTAGAAAATAGTACACATCCAATAAATATTTGCTGAATTTTAATTATAGACTCACCATTTTTAGGTAATCACCTAGTAATTAGTAGACTACTTACTGAGAATCATCACAGTAAACACTGAAGAAACATGCAATGACTGACTCCATAGTAATGACTTTATTGAGTAATTTATGGAAGTTTGTGTTTTTATGATAACAACAAATATTATTATCACATATAGATTAAATATTATCAGGCCAAGAATTTTATGTAATTATTTATTGAATCCACTGATCACTACTTCTGTAGTGATTTAGTCCTCAATTTTTGTACTAGCACTACAAATATTTTCTAGAACTAAAAAATATTAACACAGTGCAAAAAACAATAGACCATATTCATTATTTAATATCCAAAAGGTCCCTGAGGTTAGAAAACAATATAGAACTAAAATAAATTAGCTGAGTAGAATTTAAGTCAAATATAAGACCTAAATGGCTGCTGTATGAAATTAGTTCAGAAATCATTATATTAGAATATATAAGAGATCCAATCTCTGGAAATTTTACTTTGGTTCTTAACTATAGGAACAGCTACTCTCTCAAAGCTTATTAGGAAACTCCACACTTCCATATCCAGTACCTTTTCTTTGTCGTTCTTCCTTGGATTTTTTTAATGCAGGCACCATTGATCATTGATCTCTTCTAAGTAGCTTTCTTACGGCTTCTACAACATTGTATTCTCCTATCTGCTTCCTCTATGAAATCTCCACTCATTTCCTAACAACTCCAGCTAAACTTTCCCTTTCCTGAAGTGACTCTAGGCTTCTTCCCAAAAGTTTAACACCTTTTTGTTCATTGCTTATCCTATTTCCTCACCTAGTTATTTCAAGTGTTTATTTTGCAACTAAATTGGAAACTTCCCAAGGTCAGGAACTAAGGATTCTACTTCTGAATTTATTACTAAATATATAGGTTGAATACACCATAGCACTTGGCTTGGCCATAGCACACAGAAGCCAAACAAATATTTGTTATTGGTAGATTGACTATAAGTGGTAGCATTCACACAGATTGGTAAACATTTCTGCAAGTGATTGAATTTTTAACTCATTTTAACTACCTTTATGGAATCTTGAGCAAATGTGTTGATCAAGTATGTTACTACAGCAGGAAGAAAAATATTTTCTCAGCAAATAAACAATTTCATTAGAGATCCTCCTGCTGAAAATGTTTGGTTCAGCTGTCTGGTCTTTGCTCAAGCTGGTCTACATGCATGTTGTTAGTTATATACCCTTTGGTTCCCTTTATAAAAATCTATAGCTAGTTGTATCTCTCAAACTGGGATACTAAGCACCACCATTTTTAATTCTTCTTTCTAATTCCAAAGTCTAATATGGCACATAGAATCCAGGTATTCAGAAAGCACTTAATAAATATTTGGCCAATGATTGTTTTATTAATCAGACAATAATAAGGCAGAAAGCCTAATAATTAGGAGAGTCTCACTAAATGCTAAACAAGCATTATTTTTTTTTCCTGAAAGTCACTGTTGCTCTTGCACTGTCACACAGCCTTTGATGTATTTGTTTTCATAGCTAGGCAGATTCGAGCTACAAGGTTGCTGATTTTATTACAAGCCAATATTTTAGTTGGGTGAATTAAAAGTTGCATGGTTATTTCCTCCTCACTACAGCTCTTCATGAATACCTGCAACTTCCAGGGTTAAAAAGAAATCTTAAAAGAAAAAAATCTAAGCTCCTACAATGTTGAATTCTACTTTTCCTAACTATTGTCTGCCACATATTTGGTCTCACTGAAGTCTCTAAGAATACAGCACTAAACACAAATGGTTTTCATACAGTGTGGAGTGTTCTTGGTGGCTAAAATTGTCTACCTCCTTTTCTTTTGTGCTCTCTATAAGATACAATTGAAAGAGTCCTGGGAGCCAGAAAAACCATGTTCCAGATTTCTGTCCAACATTCTCTGTCTCATTTATCTCTCGTAAGTCTCCTCATCTTGTAAATTCCTCATCTGTAATCTAAGGTTCTTAGAATATGTGTATCAAATGGATGGATATACTTTGCGAATTGTATAATCTCACTTACATATAGTGTGACATTCTTATTTATAGAGGCAGAAAACTCTAAAAATCAATATCAACAGAGTATAGACCACTAGTCCACAAGAAAACCCTAGCTTTGTCTCTGAGAAAGCAAATCTCTTTTTTGCTGTAGTGATTTGATAACACCCAACATTTTATAGAGGGAGTTAAGGACTGATAGAGGATTAAAGCTGACTTTATCCAAAAGAACAGCCCATTTCCCAGTAGGAAAAGAAAACATTATGTACCATAATGCAGGAGCAATTTGACCAACTATTTGACTATTTAATCAACACTCCCAATAAAAAAAATGATTTCCTGATAATCTTCACATCATGTTAGAACAGACCAATAGTGTAAAATAGTTGGTCTTGAAAGATATCCCAGTATATACAATTACACATAATTGATACATTAAAATAAATGAAGCAATAAAAATAATTGATGCACTCAGGCATAAACTACTGCAACCTCTCACTCCCACCCCTTATTGTCCAAACGTAACACTTTCACCTGTAAACTACATCTGCATCTTTGCCTCTGTGCATCTATTATCAAAGATTCAATATCCAATCTCCTCCATGAGGCTAACCCCTCTAACTTTACACCCAACATCGTGCCTTTTTATATCCCAGTCAATCATTAGCCCCTCTTTCTTTCTGTATCTTCAACATCTTCCTCTCCATGGGGCTCTTTGCTGAAGCCTATAGACATCCCACTCTGCCATCTGAAAACAAAATAAAAGTCTTCACTCTACTCCACATCTTGTCCTATATCTCTCCTTCCCTTCACAACTCACTGTCTTAATGGATAGGAGGAAGAAAAATAATGGTCTATATCTGATGTCTTTACTACTACTAAATACTGAGTTTAGACATAATCATTCAATAAATTGTCCAAAAAATCAAAAGTGCAATACTAAATAAGATCTTCCTACCTTCCATTCTATGCTCCAAAACATTAAGGTATTTGTAATTTTCTGCAAAACAATGCTAATTAATATTTCTGAGAATTTCTTCACGTATTTTTTTTCTTATCTAGCTGCCATCCTCTTGTTCTCCCCCTGTCTCATTTCTACTGGTTACTGCACATCTATCGTTATGTTTTAGGTCTGTCACCTGCAGGAAACTAACCCATGCTCCCAAAGGTAAGGTGGCTGCTCCTTTTATACCATTCTTTTTCATTATATTTAGTACATTGTGTTATAGTTATTTGTTCATATGTCTATTCATTCATTATGGGCTCCTTTTAATAGTGTGTTAATTATCTTTGTGTCCTTACAGTTTGCCTGGAATCACTATAAATAAAATAGGAAGATATAAAGTTAACTGGTTCCATTTAGCCAATCATGGTACTTTGATGTATGTATTTTAATAAACTTCAGACAAAAAGGCACTAAATACAAATAACCTATACATAAAAGTTCGTTCCATGTTTTTTAAGCTTGCTGCTACATATATACAAACTTAGGCAAGGTTGAGCAATGTAATTAGGCAACCATGTGACAATTAACAGAAAGAAAGCACCTGATCTTGAAAGCACCTGATCAAGATAAAACAAGCATATTTTTCTTGAAATATCAGTCATAAACATTTATTGAGTAGCTACTGTATGTATAGCACTAGCTCTACAGCTGACTTTCTGGTTTTGAGAGATGGGGATTTACCATCAAGGAGTATAAGATATAAATAAAAGATCAATTTATAATGAGTGAGACTAAAACAATGGAAAATATATAAAAGGATCTCTTAAGTGCTAAGTGTGTTATAGAATGAGGAAGTGCTATAGTTTAAAGAAAAGAGATACCCAAAAAGGTTTCAAAGAGGAGGCACATTGGACTTGATTGATGACTTCAAGGATTTAGATGTGAAGGAGAAGATGGAATACAGATAAGGGAAACAGTAGAGTTAACGCAGAGGAATGACTCTGCTCAGGTGTGCCCTCCAGTGAGACCTTCCCTGAGTTCCTATCCCAGCCCTCCACCTCTCCACAGTGTGTGGCAGGGAAGTCTCCTAGCCGTCCCTAGTGTTCTTTGTCCCATCTACCACAGCACTGACCGCTAAGCATTATCCTTCTTTTATTCATCTCATCCCCACTAGCCGATTAACTCCTTCGGAGCAAGGCTTAAATGTTTGTTGCTGTATCAACCAATAAACTATCTGATAAACAGTAAGTACTCAGTACATGTTTACCAAATTATTAATAAATGAAAGTAACTGCCCCATAGGTTGTTTTGTGAGGATATGATCCTCTGTAGAGAAGAGCAAGTTGAAATCATCATCATTTGAGATCAGAGTGTCATTTTGTCTCATAAAAAGTCAAATTTTTCAGAATTATCCAAAGCAAATTCTAATTTCACTGATACACTTTAGTAATAATGGCTTTTGAGGATAGAATGGGATTTATATTCCCCAAAGTAGTAAATTATTGTCAAGTGCTTTAAGATGACAAAGTATATCTCACTTGTTAAAGAGTACATTAAACTAGAACCTGACAGTTTTCTCCCACTGGAATCTCTGACTTAAACACAGATGTGAGTATTTGTGGGTAAGTTATTGTTTTTTTTTTAATCTCATCAGACTTTTAATCTGAATGTTTCATGCACTCAAATTAAGCACACATACTTCTTGTAAAGACATACAAAAGAGGCTTGATTTCTGTCCAGGATGTCTGGGAGTGAAATTCTAGCAGGACTTGGGAAGATAAATGTTTACAGGATTCAGTCAGCAGTAGTGAAGGAGGGAAATGGGGGGAAAAACACAAAAATGGAGTCTTGCTTTCCCCAAAGATAGAGAACAAGCAACATGTTTCCAGAAAAGTTCTGTGCTTAAGAAATGCCAATGGAATAAACCAAACCTTCTAAATACCCAAACCAAACACTTAGATATCAGCCAACAAACATTATTACAAAGAAAAATAAGAAATCAAGAAGAGGCACAAAATAAGGAATTAAGAACAAATATAACAATTCCTCAGATAAAAGCTCATAAACATTCAATAATAATAATTATTATTATTTTTTTCCCCTCCTCCTCTCCTGCCCCCCATCCTTCTGTCCCTCTCCTTCTCCTTTCCTTCTTATTCTGGATGAAATAGCAGTTTAGTAGATTCAAGACAAATCCATTAGCAGTAGGGGCCGGAAGGAATGCCACTGAACTCTGACACCCCATCCCACCCGAAAACCTTTAGAGAACACAGAGTCTGTGGTTGTAATAGTGTGACGCAACACATGATACATTTACAGATTTTCTCTCTTAATTGGAAAATTCAAAGTTAATCTGAAATCTACAAAGTCGATATCAGATTTAGAATTTTTTTCACAATCATCTCCTTTTTAACAACAGTGTCTATAAACTTTGTTGTATGGGCCGGGCGCTGTGGCTCACGCCTGTAATCCTAGCTCTTGGGAGGCCGAGGCGGGCGGATTGCTCAAGGTCAGGAGTTCAAAACCAGCCTGAGCAAGAGCGAGACCCCGTCTCTACTATAAATAGAAAGAAATTAATTGGCCAACTGATATATATATATAAAAAAAATTAGCCGGGCATGGTGGCGCATGCCTGTAGTCCCAGCTACCCGGGAGGCTGAGGCAGAAGGATCACTCGAGCCCAGGAGTTTGAGGTTGCTGTGAGCTAGGCTGACGCCACGGCACTCACTCTAGCCTGGGCAACAAAGCGAGACTCTGTCTAAAAAAAAAAAAAAAAAAAAAAAAAAAACTTTGTTGTAGAGCCATTCACTGCAAAACAAATCATTTTACAAAGTTATAAATCATAGTTAAAGAAATAACCACAAACCTGGATCAAAACTTCAAATCCTACCTTTAAAGTACAAAAATATATTACCCAGGGAGATGATGTGCAATGCCTCCATCTACCTAAATGTGTACATGAGATTTTCCACAATAGTATGGCACAAATATGACCTCAGTGAAATAACCTTATGTAAATATTCTGTAGTCATACACTTTCAAAGCAGACAGTGGCCCTGAATAATAGATCACAGGTTTTACAACAGAGGAAACTGAGGCCCAGAGAATTTAAGTCACTTCCACAAAATCACCAAGTGAGTCCATTGCAGAGCTGCAATTAGAATGTTGATTTCCTGTGTCTTGTTCCAAGTTTAATTTAGAAGCTTTTCTTTAAAATTATTTCAACAATTCATTCATGAAAGAAAGTAACAGTCTATTTAGTTGAGGCCCTCATCTCTTTAACTGCATGTTTCTCTCTGCACAAGTAGAGAGTCTTAAAATATACCGGAAAGTAGACAGGCCTGAGAGATGATGGAACCTTTTTCTAAACATTTGGCTCTGATTGCTGTGGATATTTGTCACCAGCTTAAACTTCTAGCTCCAAGTCACCTTCTGACCCAAGGAAAAGGAATACCATGCCACAAACAGGCCTTTAGAGATTCACTTTGATTTTGAGACAGGCTTCCTGATGAGAAATGAATAAAGAAAAAGTAGTAATAATAGTGATTCAGCCTTCTGCCAGGAAGCTATATTTTTGCTTGTAGAAAGACTACAGTTCAGTTGTATTAGAAAAATCACATTTTGCCTCTCCATCTGTTCAGTTTATCCTCAAGTCAAATCCTCTATTCTTATTTTTTCCTATTTAATTCCTGTTTGGGGGCTTTAGGAAGTGTTCTAAATAATTTCATAAGCAAGCTATTTTACGTTTCAAAATTGAAGAATTTCAAATTTTGGAAAAAAAAACACTAATATGAAGAGAGTTTAATATTCCTTTGGATTACTATCTGATCATTTACTTAAAGGAATAATTATACTTTGCATTTAGCTAACTGTTCATCATAGTAAAGGCATGCTAAAATAGTAACACTATGGGGCTTTATAGCTGTCAGAGAATTTCTACAGACATTATGAACTCTTTTTTTAGAACCTGTAAGGTAGAAAAATATAAAGCATTACTCTTGTTTTGTAAATGAAAGAATAAGCCTCTAACACATTATATTTACAAGGAATTTATAAGGAAAGAGTCAAGACTTTATTCCAGTCCTCTGACTCAGGGCCAGCACTCTCTGGCCTCTATTGCCATGTTGAGTTAGTAGAAGCTGAGTGAGCTCAAACAGCTGCTTTCTCTTCATTGACTGCTCAGGCAAGGTGCATACCATCCCTCAGAAAAACATTGCCCCAGGGCTCAAATAAGTCTATCATGACATCAGTAAAATATCAGGAAAGTAAGCAGATGTTTTATGTGTTGAGCAGAGTTCCACTTTTCTCAAACAACCCTACCTGAGCCAAATGTGCAAACAATTGCCAAAATCTTTATATTAGAAAAAAAGAGAATTAAATTAAATTATTTTTAATGTAAAGTATGTACCACCAAATTTTTGAAATGCATTCTCACACCAAAGTATATATACTTTCTAGAGTTTTGCTGGTTTGTTTTTCCTAACTTGCTTTTTGAATAATCAAGAGCTGAGCACACACCTGGCCCAAGAGAAAAACATGAGATAAATAAAAATTTATTATTGCCATTTCAAATCTCCCAATTATACTTTTTCCCCACCCTCTTTCCCCCACCCCCACCCCTTTTCACCCATCCCGATTTTGCCCCAGGTGCCTAGGATTCACTGCCTAACCTTCCTCTAATCAAACCTAGCAACTGGGAATGGTGTGATAAAAGTTATTTCAGTTATGGAAGAAATAATCTGTAATAAACCAATCAGGGAGTCCATCCTAAAAATACTAATAATATCCACATTTCTTCAGAGCCCATAATACGCCAAGCATTTTAATTTAACCCCTCAATATGCAGATGAGAAAACTGAATCTCAAAGAAGATCAGTAACTTGTTCAAGGTCACAGGGCTAGCAAGGGGCAAATTCAGGACTCAAAGGTGAGACTTCAAAAACTCTTCCTTTCTTAGCTACTTATTGAAAGTAAATGGAAAAGAAGTTGTAAATGTAGGAACTGCTAACTATAAAAAGCTCTAAATATAAAAAATGGTAAAAGTTGGGGCCTCTAGGGAAGTTCCCAGAATCAAAAATACCTCACTGCTGAGTCAATGTCCTACTCCTACTGCCTGTAGGCGTAATTGACAGTATTTATACTGTTAGCACCAAAGAACATATATATAGGGTAGGTGCTATGGCTCACACCTGTAATCCTAGCACTTTGGGAGGCCAAGGTGGGAGAATCGCTTGAGCCCAGGAGTTTAAGACCAGCCTGGGCACCAGCAAGAACCTGTCTCTACACAAAAATAGAAAAATTAGCCTTGTATGGTGGCGTGTGCCTGTAGTCTCAGCTAATCCAGAGGCTGAGATAGGAGGATCGCTTGAGCCTAAGAGTTTGAGGTTGCAATGAGCTATGATGACGCCACTGCACTCTAGCCTGGGCAACAGAGTGAGACCCTGTCTTTAAAAAAGAAAATATACCCATATATGTAGTATCATAATAGTTAATTTATTCTAAATTTACTATGTTTTAGGAAAACGGTAAAAAAATTGAAAAGTCAAAAAACAAAAATTAAGAGATGTCACATACTTCCCCCAATTTTTTGAAATTATCTATAAATCCCACAAGACATCATATGAGTTGGATCATTCCAAATTGGCATGGAGCTATGCATTTTAGTGTATTGCAAATGAGCCCATCTGAGTCAGCTATCAGTTGGCATGACTTGCATACATATTTTCAGAGAACCCTTCTTCCCACACACTTAATGGTTTCCATACCCTCTGCTGTCTTCCACATCCTGCTGATTGCCACAGAGGCATAAGGTTCTACTCAAGTGTGACTTGAAACTTGCTATTGAAGATTTTTAGAGAGAAAAGACAGGTTTTTATTTTTAAATCCTCAAAGGCACAGGAAAGGGAAGACATGAAGGCAGGGAAGTACCCATTCTGAAATGGCTTCAGGGAACTTGTCATTTTGCAAAGCATCTCTCTGAAATTCAGTTGGCCATGTTCAGTCACTTTGGGCATAGATTATGTGGCAATTTTAGGATTCCATCCTGAAGAAACTCAAAAGTCCTCTTCAGAAACAGTGGGAATCTAGTGGGCAAAGTTCTGTTTTGATTATACCAAGCAAAGTTCAGTTTCTTTGAGAACAGACTCGTAGTGATTCTAATGTTTTGATTGTGGAACCCTCTGTGAACAAGCAGAGTGTCTAAGGCAGCTGGATTTTATCCTCATAGAGAGTGTGGGACACAGTGTCCATCTGGGACTTTGGGATTTTAACCCAGAGCCAGTACATCAGTTGATTCTCATGGTCCAACAATATTGAGAAAAAGTTCTCAAAATGTAAATTACCATATAATGAACTTGCATTACAAGGGAGTAATACTATTACCTCTGTGCACTAGGACAATAATTACAGAGGTATGTGGAGCACATTGGTTTCCTATGGTGTAAGAAAGAAGAGGATGCCAAATAGGTACATTTTGATGAGAGGTCACATTAGAAGGAAAAGTCTGTAATTTGAAGGAAAATTTGGGAAAGTGATAACCAGATAGACCTGCAGTGTGAGACCCTGGAAAGGCAAGGATGGCCTCAGAAGCCTGAATGCCTTTCCTTCAAACAGAAAGGAGACTGAAATCATATTTCTCTAAAAACCTAAATTAATTAAAATAACTCATCTATGTCAAAATTGTTTCCTTATAGCTTTTGCTCCTAGGATTTTAGCAACATTGCGCCCAAGGAAGCACAAAGGTATGGGAAGCTCAGGTGAGCTATATGTTTAATAGGTTTATGAAACATACTTATTTATATAACGAACATACTAAAATATCATAAAACACACTAATTTAGTTTTATTTTGTCATGCTCCATATACCCAAAGACAAACACCCACTATGGAACTTTGAGTGCATTCATGAATTTATCTCTACAGAACTAATTCTGTTTCAATTTAGTCTCATCCTTTACATAAATGAATACTATCTCCAGCTCCTTTTTATTTTATTAAAACAAAACAAATAGATTCTGAATATATAATAAATCTTCCTGGGATAATGAGAACTCCTTTGGTTCAGGGGTCTATGAGTTAATTCTAAGCAAAATTTAGTTCAGTTATAATATGTTTAAGGCAGAAAAATAAAGCCCACAAATAAAAAACAAGCTTAATTTAATCAACAGAAGTCGAGCTTTAAGGGGAAGTAGGGAAAGATTGGAGAAAGAAATGAGATTTTTTTTGTTTGTTTTTTTTTTACAAATACCTAGAAAGACATAAGACTTTCACCTTAAGGCTGAAATACAAGTTCCTGGATAGAATTTTCAGTCATTCCTCATTCAGAAGACTCAAGTCTTTTTTTATCCAGTACAAACTCACATTAAAAAAAAAAATTATATAAGAATTTCTCCCTTGCCTTGGAATTGCGTGTGCCCTCTGCCCTCTCAAAGAAAGTTGAAACCTCAGAGGTTTTGTGTTTATAGCCAAAGATCAGAAAACTAGAAACTTCTCTGCAGTTTGTCTTCCAGTGGTAGTCAGTTAACCTCACTGTCCACCAGTTCACCCCATGAGAAAGTCTGGCTAGAAATTTATCACTAACATGAGACACGTGATGCCCTGAACGAAACTATAACTTTCCACTTCTTCTATAAATCTCTGGAAAGAACAAGAAAGAATAGGCTTAAAAGTACTTTCAAACTAGCATAAATAAATCGGAGAGGTTCTTTTACCTCAGGAGAAGATAAGCATATAACTGCTATGTAAGATAGATGAAAATATTAAATATCTACAAATATAAATAAACTGTATTATTGGGAACCATCCATATTTTCAGAATTCCATAATAAAAAATCTAAAAGTGATAGCCACAGAACAACCATACTGAATATCAAATATTTAATTACAGAATTTTATAGGTACAAAGTATCTGGTAAAATTCTACCTGCATCTCTCCTTCTAAGTTGAACCTATCAGGTTTTATTTTTTTTAAGTTTGAAAAACTAAGAAGAAAGAAAAGTGCAGCAAAGTAAGAAAAGTGCGAGTCTAAATAATGTAATAATGTAATGTGCCCATATGCCACACCAGTTTCTGCTTTCTGGAGAAGATTTCACAAGAATCCCCTGGGAGTGAAGGAAGTGAGGTAAATGAACAGCCTTGGAAAATGAAGACACTTGCTGCACTGGGAAAAGTCTGGGAAAAGATGGTCATCCCCACTACTGTATCCAAATAGTCCTGGGAGCTGTCTTATAAATCCCTGTGCAGTGAAGCAATTCCTCTCATTCCAAATGCAACCCAGAGAAACACAGAGTGGAAAATAAGCTACTAATGTTGAATAGAGACTTTTATGACTATCATATTTTCAGAAAATAAATTCTGAAGCAGACAGGGCTGGTAGACAGACATGAGGTGGCACTGGGGCGTGGAGTGGGCCGAACGTGGCTTGCTCGCCCACTAGGAACCGTCACGGAGAACTAAGTGTATGTGGGGGTGTAAAACAGGAAAGGGGCCGTCCTACTTCAAATCATGGGGCCATCAGAAAGTCTCCAGTGGGAAAAGGCTTTTGTTTTTACTTTCTTTTGTTGTTTTGTTGAGTAGTAAACCTACAAAAGGGGACAATACAATACAGCCCTTTTATTTGAACAGCAAAATTTTTAAATGGGCTTTAAATAGCTTATTAGCAATATATAAATAAAATTATTGCTGTGTTGTCAAAATGACTGTAGTAGAAAAGTAGATAAAATTTATGTTTTAAATTTTATACTAGACTTAATTTCTTTGAGAGCAAAAGTTTTTTCTTTTTATAACATCTAACATCTTAGTTCTCATAATCATCCAATTGGCATTTGTTATTACTGTTATGAGTATTAAATAGCAATGTAATAATAATATCACCTACCATTTAATAAACTTCTCCTATTTGCTGGGAGTCATGCTATGATGTAGATGGCTTATATACATTATAGTATTCATAAAAATTAATTGAGGTGAATATTAGTATTCTAATTTTATAGATGAAAAAACCAAGACAGGGAAATTCAGAAAATTGCCCAAATATATACAAAACCTGAATTTGAATTCACTTTGCTCAATACTTGAATGAGTTAATGATGGGAAAAATTTTTTTTAGAGTTTCACAAATATTATTGAATTGGCATATATGCATGGATATACCTAATACATAAAAAGAATTTATGGCATAGCCCCTATCTCCCAAGAAATTTACCATTGGTTAACACCAACACACTTGAAGCACTTAGAGAAGATACACTGAAAGGAAAAGGGATATTTATTGTTGATAAGAATCTCCTAATTTCTGAGCAGATATAAGAACTGAAATAGAACTTGAAGGAAAATGCCAACAGGCAGAGAGAATGTAAAAGAAGAAGCATAGAAGTACCCAAATCACAAGGATTAGATGTGGGAACAGTAAGAAGTTAGATCTGACTTGAGAAAGAATGCCTCATGGTGTGTTGCAATCAATAGTGTTAAGTAATAATAATAGAAATAATAGTAGTTGTTTATTAATAGACAGAATGGAGAAGATCATGAGTAGCCTTACATACCATCTGGATAATTTTGGCATTGTTAGGTTAAAAAAAAACAAAAAGAAGACACACAAAGAGTTTAGGTCAATATAATGTGTTAAGTATCATGCAATAGTCAATGACAAGTTGACTAGAGAGTGACATGATGAAAATAGGGCATAGGAAGACTAATGTGGCAGGAATATGTAAAATGAATTCATGGGAAGAAAGCATTCTCAGTGTGATATATGTAGCTCATGCATGAGAGAGGTGTCATGAGGGTTGTGAGACGGCAGAGGAGAAGCCCTTCTCTCAACTAATGAGAGAATGTGAGATCTGAGTGGAATGTGGACAGTAGAGGAGTAGAGATTTTAAAAAAGGGAAAATGTGTGTGTATGTGTGTGTGTGTGTGTGTGTGTGTGTGTGTGTGTGTGTGTGTGTGTGTTGGGGGGTAGAAGTTACAAGCAATTCCTTATTTTGAGGCAGAGAATGACAGTTGATGTGCCTAAGATTCTATAAATGGGCCAGATCAGGAGGGTCTTGTATGCCATGCTAAGTAGCTTGTTCTTCATTCTTCGAGTTATGGGAGCCAATGGAAGGTTTTAAGGAAATAAAAACATGAATAGATTTTCGTTCTACATCACACTGGCAACAAAGAGGATATGTTTATGTGTGCATGGTAAGTGAGCACAGGGGAGGCAAGGGGATGAATTTAGATGCCATTGCAGCCATCCAGGGATAGATGATGAGGGCCTGAACGGAGGCATTTGCAGTAGAGATAGAAAAGAGATATAGTTGGGAAATATCTAGCAGGTAAAACGGTTGAGCTTAGTGACTGATTGGAATTTTACTGATTGAATGACTGATTAAATGACAAGGTTGGATGATACTGCCATTAACCGACATAAGAAGGACTACATAAGAAAAATGACTTAGTCTTGGAGGGAAGATAATGAGTGGAGTTTGGGATACATTGAACTTGAAGTGGTTCTGGGCCACCCAGCAGGTAGCCCAGAGTTAATATGAACTTTGAAGTTCATATTAAAGATCAGGGTTAGAGAGAGGGAGTTGAGAATTATCAGCATTTAGCTGTTATGCAAAACACTTATTCCTAGATGGCCTAGGAGGAGAATATGCAGCAGTAATCAATGAATTAAATCCAATGAGAAGGAAAAAGTGTGAAGGGAGAAAAGAGGAGAAGCAGCCCATGAATGGAGCTGAGAGGGAAAAGGTGGGGAGGTGGAGGAAGCACCTTCAGAGAATGGAATTTCAGGAAAGCTGGAGTGGTTATTGGGATCAAATAAGGAAAAGAACTGATAAAATGAGGTGAAACGGGCCAATTGGAACATCAAGCATTTTAATCCTCATCTTACTAGACCAGCTTAAGTGGAACGGAGGGGGCAGGTAAGGGCAGGGGAGGCAGAGACAGAAAACTGCTCCTTTGGAACAGCTGGCCTAAGAATAAAAACAGGGCAGGAGCTAGACACAGGCCTGGGAGTGACTGGGACTTGTTTACAGGCTAAGGGAAAAGAACAGACAAAAAAGAAGTGATTGAAATTATAGAAAAGAGAGTGCAATTGGTAAAACAAGTTCCCCCAAGGAGATGGAGAACAAATAAAATACCTGAGAACAAATCCAGAAAGTGCTTCAAAAATTTGATGAAAGTAAAATAATACCACAAAGGCTTGCATTTGTGATGACTGAAACAGATTCTAATATCACTTTCTCTGTCTTATTTAAGTACTCTAAAATTACTAAATTTCTCTATCTCATTAAGTACTCTAAATTTACTTTAGGTAAATTTCCCGAATAATCCTTCTACAAGTCCCAGAACAGGAGTGTATACTATTTTCCCACTATTTCAGGTGAGGACACAAAGGTGCAGTGAGGTTAAAGGACTCTCTGCAGGTTGCAAAACTGCTAAATACAGCAAAGAGCAGAACGCAAGTGTTCTCTCACATGAAAGTTGGGTCAAGGCTCACTATACTTTTATGCTATAGAGACTATAACAAGGCTTTGATGCTTATGTTGCAAGCAATGTTTCAACCAAGAATATAGTTTGTTGTCATCTTAAGGCTGAATTCACAATTCTGGCTGAACAGACACCCCAGGGAATTAAAAAAAAAAAAAAAAAAAAAAACTGAGAATTGCCTTCTTCTCAAATCTAAACCTAAAAAAAAAAGGCATATAAACATTTTTGAGTTTGAGCATTGTACCAGAAGGCTATGGAGACAAAGTTCCATTGACTTATTAATATCAATTTACTAATATTATTAACATTACAGCTTTCTCTCTAGAAGGCAAGATTTGTAATTTCCCTGATATACTTACTGTTAACATTACAGCTTTCTCTCTAGAAGGCAAGATTTGTAATTTCCCTGATATACTTACTGTTCCTTAGAGCAAGGGTCCCAGGGACCTTTTTGACACCAGGTACTGGTTTCATGGAAGACAATCTTTTCATGGACTGGGGCAGGGGAATGGTTTTGGGATGATTCAAGCACACATGCCATTTATTGTGCACTCAAACCTCTCTGTTAATAATAATCTGTATTTGCAGCCGCTCCACAGTGCTAGCATCACCGCCTCAGCTCCACCTCAGATCATCAGGCATTAGACTCTCAGAAGAAGCACACAACCTAGATCCCTCACATACCCAGTTTACAGTAGGGTTCGAGCTCCTATGAGAGTCCAATGCCCCCACCGACATGACAGGGGGCGGAGCTTATGCAGTGATGAGAGCATAGGGGAGCAGCTGTAAATACAGAAGAAGCCTCACTTTGCTTGCCCATCTGCCACTCACCTCCTGCTGTGAGGCCTGGTTCCTAACAGGCCACAGACCAGTCCTGATTGGCATCCCAGGGATTGGGGACCACAGCCTTAGAGAGTGTATAAAATGGGACCATCTTGATTTATTTTGAAGGGTTTAGTTTTAAACATATCAATAAAATAAAATAAAAACCCTAAGGCTGCCAATACAGTCACATCTTTAAGGCAATTTTTTTTTTTTTTTTTAGGATAGACTGGTGCGCCATATAAATGCCAAGAGTAGATAGTTAAATGAGGAATATGGCAACTCTTAAGTCTTACATAAAATTTAGATAATTTATGTGTGAAATTATGTGGAAATAAATTTTAAAGGAAAACTAAATTATCAGCATCTTCCTAATAATTTCATTCTGACTCAAAACAACTTTTTCAAGCTGTTATTGTTACAGTTATAAGAAAATCTCAAAGACCTCATACTTAATAGTAAATTGATAATGTCTAATTTAATATCTTTAATGAACCTTCCAGTGTCATTGATATAAATCATAGAAAATAATAAATCAAAGAAAAGCATGTTATTTAACTCTAGAATAGATTTGTCTTACATAAACTTGTGCAACTTGCCCAACTTAATACCGCAGATCAATTAAAAATTAACAGTTCTGGTCTTTTCCTCCTACCTTTACTATATCTCTCATATGTAAATAACGGTTTCAATGTTATGATCTCAGAGCAAAAATCATCAGATCAAAAAGTTCAAACACATTATGAATGCCACGTAAGGCCAAGTGATGATGCATGAACCTGGAGCATTCTTCAACCTGAAGCAGACTCTATAATTAAAAAAAATTCATTCTATGGCAATAGAATAGCATCATTGAAATCTTCTAAGCCCCACCTTCTCAAAACAAAGCTTCCTCTTTCTGCTTTGCCTCACATCTTGCATTAGGTGCATGTCTACAAATGATGAACACCTTGAATTTCAGGCCTGTGGTGACAGTTCTGAAAGTATGAAGAGCAAAAATAAGAGACAGGAGGGATTGAAAATGAAAAACTCACCTAACCAACCATGAAGGGGATCAGGGCCTTCAGTTATTTTTCTGGAAATGATGGTGAATTTGTCATAGTTTATCAATAAACTTTAACTAGGCAGCCTTATAAGCAAAATGAATAACTAGAATAGCAAGTAATTACCAAAAGTCTCAATGTGTAGCCTTGGAACATAAAAGCCAATTGGTCCACCTCAAGATCAAAAGAGTGCAAGTCAAAGATTTAATACATTGGTTCACCAGTGTGAATTAGAGTCACCAGAAGAGATTGGACAATACATAGATTCCCCAGATCCCATCCAAACCTACTAAATCAGGGTGTTTGGAAAGGAGAAGAACATAGAACCTATATTAGTAACAAGATCCCAGGTTATTTCTTATGCAGTCATCTCAACGCTGATCTGTGGGGTGCTTACAAATTACCCTACGGAGTCATGGTCAAAGTATACAGTGTGTTAGTCAATGGAAACAATTCACTAAATCTATCAATCTACCAATCTATGAATACATAAGTAGAGAGAGATCTACTCTTCATATTAAGCATCAATTTAGTTTGGATAAAAGTTACAGATAACTTCTAAATTTATCTGAAGAGAATTAGATTAAAAAGTGAATAAAATGCACCCTCATATTTAAGTGCCATCCAGTGTTCTTGGCTTTGTAGTCTACTCAGAAATGAACAATAACCAGTGTAGATCTGGTCACACAACTATATTCTGTCCACTGAAACCATAAGATCTAGTCTACTAAAAGTAGCTGGCACGTGTACTCACTGTGGTAAGGACTGCAGTTGCCTCCTAATAGCCATTCTTTATATTCTTCATAGAACTCTATTTAGTACAGTATATTGCCAGTGCCACCCAGCTAAAATCTCCATTTCCTAGCAGACCTTGTAGCTTTGTATGACCATATGACTAAATGCTGGCCAACCAGAAGTAAGTTTAAATGTTAAGAAGACTTAAAAGTCTTCATGGGCGTGGGAGGGAGCTCACAGCCTTTGTCTCCCATCCTCTATACACATGCCTAGAAAGTACCTGTAATGGCTGGAGCTCCAGCAGCCATTTAGGGCCATAAAATCAAAGACCATACCCTAGAGATAAGGAAGTAGAGAGCTATAAAAAGCCTGAGTCTCTGATGACATTGTGGATCCAATATGCTAGGCTTTCACTGCCTACTTAAAACCTTTCTTTACATAAGGGAAAAAAAGGCGTTTTTATTTGTTTGTTTGTTTAGGCTACTGTATTCTATTATATACACTTGGACCTAAACACGAACACCCACTAAAAAGAAAAGCCTACATATACTACATGATCCAAAGTATTTCAATAGCAATGAGTTTAAAACTATGAGTCAACAAGTATCTTAAGCTATGTATTTATATTGTGTACCTCCTTTAAAGTGATTCCATTCAAGGACTGCTGAGTATTAAGCATCTGCTTCTTCATATTTGTATTTTAACAATGAGATAAATGGCAGACATAACATCATAAAAATGCAACAGAACATGACATAGAAAGAACTGTGAGACCCTCATCTCTTAGTAACCAGAAGTTGGCTTAGGTCCAGGATATCAGTGTAAAGTTACAACAGGAGGGCTGCAAACATATGGTCCATAAGCCACATTTGGCACTCATATATATTTTAATTGGCTTATGCAATACCTCTGAAAACATTAATTTTGAATACCTTAAGGCAGGCATGCATCTTCAGTTCCCCACAGGCCTCCTCATCCCCTGTTGATGTGGAAACACTCGCTTGATTCACTTGTTTATGTTACCTGCCTGGCCTCTGAAAGCACTGAAGTTTACAGTTTCTGGAAATAAAATGGTATGTTTCAGCCCCTTCCCTTCTCTCCTTTGCTCATCTGCTGTTGAATACAATGATTGATACCAAATATTATTTTTTAAAATTAAGTATGCCTACTTCTAATAATAAGAATGAGTGTAGTTCACTAGATGTTAGAGTTTTATTTAGGAATATAAAATAAACCACAAATTCTCTAGTATTTTCTCTTACAAAAAACAAATATGGAATATTTCAAAGATATACACACACACTGGACCCCTTCCCCCCGAAAACACACAAATTCTTGAAAAGCTGGTTTTGTCATCTTAACTCCCTGATTATTGCTATTTTATACTTTCAACTAAAGTTAACCCAACTCCCAAACTTTCTCCTTTCAGTTTCTTATCAATGAAAAAAATCAGATAAGTTCTTAAACTTTAGTGAGAAGTAGTATTGATTTTGGCCTAAAATGCCTAAAACTTTATTTACATTTATTCTTATCAATCTTACCTATTTCTATCAGGCAGGCCCACTGTGCTTATATTTTGCATTTTTGGTAAATAACCAAAGTCAAATATACCTTGAAGTCATAAACAGAAAGAAAAAATAAAAGCTTGTAAATATGCATTTACATGCAATAGCAGGTCTCTGTGTTTCCAAAGGAAAATATTTGTACACAAAGTAAATACCACATTATGGGACTTAGTTATAACTAAAATTTGAGAAATGTACTTGCTTTGCATGTGTGCCTTAGATATTTATTTAATTTAAAGCATTTGCCTAAGCTTACTTTTTCCCAAACTCAAAATCACATAGAGTTTCTAAATTCTGACATTTTCATTAAGTTTCTGACATGCCTGAACAGGGAAAATAAAGTATTGCCAAGTATCCATACAATATCAACTTAAATCAAAATATGCATGGTAAGCAAATATAGTATGAGTTAATTGGCTCTAAATACACTAGATCCTTTAATTCTTTTCTGTGTTATCCTTAATTAGGGCCATAACTACTTTCTTTTGCTATTGAATATTTATCACATATATTCTCTTAGGTAATAGTAATAAAATAGAGAAATTTATTTTTTATTTTTACAATACATGTGCAAGCAATCACACATTCTCTGTAAAATCTGATGTTTGGAATTCCGGTTTCTGTGCTATTTGGTTATCCTGGGGGAACTGGAGTTGGTTTGGAGTTGGGGACTTTTTTTTACACCAAGTATTGCATTCCTCACATTTATGTAAATTATTAAGGAAAATTAAACCCTGGTCATTTTTAAAAAACACCTACAAAGTAATTAAAACTATTTGGGAAAGTCTTTTAATATTTGGCCTATTTCATGTATCTTATAAAAGAGTCCTTTCATTTATTCACATAGTCAATTATTTCAGTACTTTATAAGAGTAAGTTATTAATTTTAATATAAATTAACAAAGAAAGCTGTATTAAAATTTTCAGTTGAAGTTGGTTGTTTGGTGGGGGAAGGGAGTAAACTGTTCCTTGTATAATCAGATTTTCTATATCTATTGTAATTTTTCTGTATTTTTCTCTCCTCTTCTAATACCTACTTCATATTCAATTATCTTTCCCACCCTTCCAAAACAACACATGCTTTTCACTATGACAAAGAAACTCAAAACTTTTTACCTTAAATAAATTGCCTCATTTTTTAAAACAGAAAAAGTTCCAAGATTTAGAAAGTGCCCCCTCTATGGGACTCCTGATAGATTGTTGGGTTTTCATGTCCAGATTCTTATTTTCACTCTTTAAAAGTTTTTAGGACTGGTGATCTCTATATTAATTTTATGAACATCTTCACATAAGCAGAAATATGTAGTAAATATATGTATATACACATATGTATTATGTATATGTGTGTGTATATATTTGAAAGTAACAGAAAAGGTTAATGAATGTGCAAAGTTTTAAAAGGTTGAGTTTGATGTCAAATAGTTATGAAAATCTATAATGGCCCATTATAAAAGAACACATGTCTGTATTTGAGACTGTAACCCTCAAGAGTAAGGATTTAATAATCAGTGAAATCAGTTTAAATATTTTCTTATATTCTGTAATAGCCATGCATTTTTGCTTAGCCATACATACCATATAATCCAACTCTAATATATGCAAATTGTGTAGGAAAAAAATTTAGTAACCAGGCAAGATTTGTCTTTTACAAAAGCAAAAAGCAAACAAACAAAAAAACTTGTGTTAATGTCCATACAATTTACTCCATACCAAATAAATTATATATAAGACATGCTGATTTCCTGCCTTCCACCGTCTAACCGGGAACCACCACTGTCCTCTTAACCAAGTCAGTAGGGTGGGAAAATACCACTGTTTAAGAAATCTGGCTTCTATCAGCCTCTGTCATGGAGAAATAAACGAGACTGCTTCCCAGTAAAAGCAAAAGTGACTTTAGGATCACAAATGAAAATGGTGAAGAAGCCTAAGTCTGTAAAGAGAAAAGAATGAGGAGCCAAAGACAAAGAAAAGTCGGAGCTATCAGAGTTGCTGCAGAGGTTTTTCTAAACAAAGAATTTTATGAAGCAGCTGAAGTTCAGTACAAAAAAGACTCCACCCTACCCAGCTTCTGCCGTGACTTTTCTCCTTGCTCTGAAAACTCCAGCCTACAGACCAGAATTCCTCTGGCTAAAATGCCTTTAGTGCTCCGTTTTAAGCATTCTTCTTTTCTTTTAAACTTCCCACTCTCACACTCAGGCAAAAAGGACTTATCTTAGGCTTTCCCAGAAACATTTAGTAGTGTACTCTTCCCAACGACAGATCTAGAAGCTCCGGATTTACAAACATCCCCGATTGTCTTCCAAGCCGTTTCCCAGGTGCAAATCTGTCAGCCCCCTTCTCAAACTTCAAACCAGAACCTCCTCTTCAAGCTCTTCCTGGGGCTTAACATTCCACCTATTTCCCAAACCGTGCAATAAACACCACAAGCAAAGCAAACGGCAAACTCACCATCCTCGCCTTCTTCCTGGGCTTTTATTGAGACAAATTGCCCTAATAAAACAGTAAGAATGAGGAGAGGTCTTGCTTCTACCCAGTTTGCCATCACGTCTAAATATTAGACATGTGGGTCCTCCTGGGAATAAAAGTCGATTCTAAGGTTATTGTAGCACCATGAAGTCAGCCGTGGGCTCTTCTTTCAGCACCAGCCCCAGGGCTGCCTCTGCAAACCCCCTTTTTCAGCACCAGCTCCAGCACAGTCTGTGAAAACTTTTTTCAAGCGATGCAGCTTTAAATAGGAAGAATGCTGCCTCCACTTCTTTTCCTGCCCCTTTTCAGCTTGTTCAGGCTCATAACCATCCAGTGTCTGCCAAGCAACGGTCTGATTGATGGTAAACAACCAAATCAGAACGCGCGCCTCTGTGCCTGAACTTTCCCTGCTTCATTTATGTTTAAAGCATGGATGGGGCTTAATAACAGAAACAAACTTTTATTTCTCTTTCTTTTTATTTTATTTTTTTAAGAAAGTCTGTTAGAAGGAAAGAGTCCTATTCTCCCCTCCCTAACCCTTCCCCCAGACACACGCCTTAACTTTTCCCCTATAAGCTGAAAAAGACATTAGGGAGGAAATGCAGCCTTTTAGCCTAGTTTTTGGCATTCAGATAATTCAAGACTCTCTTCTCCACCTTAAACCGTGAAAGGATCACATTTTAACTCTTTCTTTTGCCTAAATAGGAATTATTTTTATCCCCTCTCCAATTCTGGTTTTCTCCCCCTCACACACACACCCCCCCACAACCCAATACTCCAGAAGGGAACTATGAGAACTAGAACGTTGCCCAGGTAAAGTCCGGGTGAGAAAACTATTTTGGACAAATGAATCTGTGACACATCATACTCTGAATCCAGAAGATAGGTCCTATCCTAATCTTTCCACATCTCTTAAGGGGCCGCATCTGCAGGTTCTTCTCCCCAAGAATTGTATTATGTAGAAATACTGACTACTAAGCTAGTGTAGAAAAATGAGAGAAACTACATTTGGATATAGAAAGGTTCAGTTCAAATACCAGCTCTGCTACTCACCAATTTTTCAAATGTGCACACAGTTCTTTATCTTTGTGCACTCCAATTTTCTCATTTGATAAAAGGGCTTTACCCTGACCAGTATACAGGGTTTAGTGACACTAAAATGAGTAGTATATTATTAAGTTCCAAATTGCAAAGAACTACATAAAAGTAGATGATGTTATTAACCCTAAACCAGCCTTTCAAGGAATATAGTTGTCTCAGATGCATATGCATTCTAAGAGCAATATCCTTGAACTTTTGGTGCTACACTCCTGCTTGCCAAGATATTAATGACCTCAGAGTATTTTATATAATCTAATCTATTTGCCATCTTGAGTCTCCTGGAATTAGAATGGATGTTGTATACAATACAGGTGAATGAACTGTTTACAATTACTCAGCAATGATTAGAAGCCCTGCACTGTGCTATACACTGGACAAAAAGCATGACACAAAAGAAATGAGAGGCGTGCACATAGCCTTCAAAGAACATATGTAGATGCTGAGAAAATAAATTTACATCTAACAAAACCAGAACATATAAATATGTTTGGGATGCAAAAGACTCGGTAGAAATTCAGAGAAAGGAGAGATCATAAAAAGAGATTTGATAAGTAAGTCATTATTATCACTTTTCTAATAGAAAAAAAAATCCAAGAACCTTCGAATTTTAGCTTTGGAGCAAGAATTTCTAGAGAAGTATTCCAGAAGTCAACTGTGTAAGGAGTTTCCAACTTTCTAACCCTGTGCCCCTCAGTTTAACTTTTTGCTTCAACAAATATAATTTCAATGACTTCCGTTCCCAGGGGTGCCCTACTCCCACTCAGTGAATGGGCTGAGGGAGGACCAAAAACTATCCTTTGCTAATAATTCTTCCTAGAATATCTGAGTAAGGCCAGGACTTGGAAATCACCTTGCTAAATAATCAAAGAAAATAACAGGAAAACAAATAAATGCAGAGGAAAAATGAACTATTCTCTGAGCTTGCCAGTTCTAGTCTACTATATGAGGCCACTTCAGACACTAATCCCAAGTGTTGGCACAATTTTCAAGCACCTTGTGTGGAATCTTTACCAAAATGCAGGACAATAGATATTTATGCCTATTGAATCTCCAACTCTCAGAAATTATTTCCATGCTGGAAATACAAAGAAGATTAAATAAAATCACAGGACTTGTAACTGAGGCAGCGTACATAATATTCAGTTCCTGCTCAGATCAATATTTTAGTATCTGTCATGAAAACAATTATTATCAGTTTACTATACAGTTATATTAAATTTAACTTGGAAACAGGACTTGTGTAAGAAAGATTAAAAACATAATGCGACCTCTCACAGTTCCCACCAGCTTCAGCCCCCACTTCCCATCATACCAAAAGCTCATGGTATGACAGAGACATAGCAAATATTGTCAGGAGAGCTGACAAAATCAGCATTCTCCATTGTCCTTGTGAAGTTTTGACATCTTACTGCCAATAAGTCATAAATAGCAAAATATTTTGCGACTTGTACTTTTTCTCTATGTTTGGCTTTAGGGCAATGTTACAATTTGGAAAATACTGAAACGTACACAAATTTTGACCAGATATGCCTGTTTAATAGATGTGATTGAATTTAGGAGAGAGGAAAGTATCATTTCTTAGTACTTGAAGAACTGATTCTAGACCTCAGTGCTAGAACAGAGGGCTCAGAAATCTGTCCCAATTCCAGTGAAGTCCATCCTAACAGTATATGTATTGTAATAATATGTGCTTAGTGGGCAAATTTTTACCAATTCTCACAGCAATCCTGAGGTATTTATCTTTTTTAAAAAAACATATATAATATTGCCTGACAAAGACAAGATGGAAAAAAAACATATATAATATAAGGAATTATGGTTCAGATACATTTACTTGCTCAAGATTGCTCAGCTAGGTAGTAAATTCAGGATTCTGTTTCAACTATGTCTGACACCAAAGTGAATGTGCTCACTGCCTCTTGGCTTGACTTAGACCCACCTGACACTCACACTCCCCAACTCAGGGGAAAAGGTGTCCGAGCACCCTTTCAGGGGTGATTCTTCCCTCTGCACTCCTTCTCCCACCCCTTCCCTTCTCCTCTTGCTCTGTCTGTAAGCCCCTCTCTCTCCTCTACCTTCCACCTCTCTTTCTCTACTAGGGCCTTTCCTGCAGCCTGTAAACCTGCTCCTCACCTATTGCCTATCTTTAAAAAAACAAACAAACAAAAAGAAGGAGAGATTTCCTTTACCCCTGCTTCTTCTATAGTCTCTTTCCTTCCTTCCACTTCTCCTCCCCCCATCACCCTTCACCCTCCACATCAGGGTCTCATTACCAGCTCTCTACTCCATATTGCACTGCCAGAGCCCTTTGTTAATCAACCCAAAGATTTCTTCTTTCCTCCCCACAGCAGTCAATATTCTGACTACTCCCTTCCTACTGAAACTCTTTC